TATCAAGTATCAGTGAATTTATGTATTTCCTTCGCAGAGCAGTAAATGTGATGTCGCCTTATTACGACGGCTTTTCAATTGACATTTACCGATATGCTAACGATAAGTTTATTGGTGGCATTAACTTTGACAAACAACCCGATATGAATTTCACTGGTTCTAATACTAAAATGGGCTCCTTAATCACTTTTAAAATCAAAGGAGCCAACGCAAATTTCGCACTAGGAATTGAGAGAGTTTTTGTGACTGCTGTGAGTGAGCAAATATTCGAGCTCTCCGAAAGTGCGTCAACTGTTTTAGACTAAGAAGAGATATCATTATTAATTTAATTAAAATCTAAATTACTTTAATAATGGCTTCACTAAATAATTTAACGGCAGTTTATGCAGATAGATTTTATTTGTCATCTTCAACGGGTGTAAGTGAAATATCAGATACATATGCTACAAAAACCGAATTAGGAGACATCAACACTGCAAACTCTTCAAATATAACAGCCAACGCTGACGCTATTTCAGTATTGAATACAAAGCAACTACAAAACTTTCATGACATCAGTTCTATCTCTCATATTTTGGCGACTACATATCAAACTAATTTGCAAATATCCAGTAGCTACTACAGTAAAGTAGAAATAGATACTACATTTTCTAATTATTATACATCAACACAGATTGACACAAATTTATCTACTAACTTCCAAACCAACACGCAACTGGCAACCAATTATTACGATAAGGGCGAGGTAGATGCATTAATAGCAGGGGCTGGATCGGGATACACAACTACTGAGGTTGATAATCTACTAGACTTAAGAGTTCCCAAATCAGATTTTACAAATAGATTTAGTGCCAATCCTATTATTGACTGTAGTGCCCCTACTGTTATTCATAGCGGTTTAACATTAAACAACTCAACTATTAATATATCGCCAGTAGCAGGATTATCATTTAGCAATCAGACAGGGGGAGGTGATAAAGTTTTAGCAGAATTTAAGAACGCTACGAGTTATATAACTTTACAAGGAGATAAGATATTTTGTAATAATACATCAGACGATGCTATTAAACAACTTGATTTAAACCCTAATGGAGGAGGTTATAAAATGAGTGGTAAAATAGCAGTTCCGACAGGTGGGTTAGTAGTAGAAAATACAGCAGATGCTAATTTATCATTTACAGTTAGAAATACTGATAATTATATTACTTTTAATAATGATAATATTGATTGTTATAATTCAGTTGGTGATACAGGTAGGATTTTACAACTAAATAATAATGCTAATCAGTATGTTAAATCTCATTCTTTATTAATTGATACAGGAATAGAAACATTAACAGGAGGTTATACATTAGATGTTGTTGATAGTGCTATTATTAGACAGAATTTAAAAGTAGATGGTGATATTGATTTAACAACTGATTTAAATTTTGATGGAGAAAACGCTAATATTAATAATTCCAATGGATTAACATTTTATAAAAATACGACAGACGCTAGTAATGTTTTAACTGTAAAAAACGCACAAGGGTATTTAAAATTTAACTCATTTAATATTAATGCTTATAATACAAGCAATGACAGTTCTTCATTACTTTTATTAAATACTGCAAATGGTAATGGTGTCTATTGTTTAAGTTTAGGCATCGGAGCAATTCAAGGCGCAAATAAACTAAATGTAAGTGGTGGGAATGCTAATTTTGGTGGCACCTCATCATTTCAAAACACATCAACATTTAATGGTGATATTTATGTCAATAATTCAGGTAGGATATTTCAGCGTAGTGATGCTAAGAACTCATTGAATGTAATATCAACAAATGAAATCAATTTCTCATTACAAGCAAATAGAACAACTGACCCGACTACTGGCACTATTGCTTTACAATTAAACGACACTAACGGAATTACACTAAATAGAGCAGTTACAAATAATCTTACTTTTAATAGTATTGGTAATTTAACAGCCGAAGCAGATTTAATAACTTGGGGAAAAATGAAGTTTCAAAATTCATCAGAGTTCAGAGAAGTATTAGATACTCAATATAAGTTATATATCAGAAATGGTGATACATTAGGAGATATTAATTTAACTGTTGGTTTAGAAAATAGCACACCAGAAATTAAAATAACAGATGGTAAAGTTAAAATGAATAATTTAGAAATAACACAAGAAACAATAAGCGCCGTAGACCAGATACAGTTTTTAAATACTGATGCAGGTGGTGAATATGCATTTTATTTTGGTAGTGTTTCAGTATCAAATGATGTATTTTCAATTTCACCAAGTGGCATTCTCGTTAATGGAGATATTGAATATACTGGGTCTTTAATTCCAAGTTCTGATAAACGATTGAAAAAAGATATTAAGGAACTTAACCAGAAAAAGGCAGTGGAATTAGTTAAATACATTGTTCCAAAAACATATCATTTTATTGATGACAGACAACAAGGTAAATCATGTTGTGGTTTTATTGCTAATGACTTTTTAACTAAAAAAGTTCCAGATGAATGGCAAAATATAGTTAAAGAAGGCAAAGATGGATATTTAAAGTTTGATTATACAATGACAACACCAGTTTTATGGAGTGCTTTACAGGCAACAATAAATGAAGTAGAAGAATTAAAAGATTTAGTAAAAACAATGAAAAAAGAAATGGCAACAACGAAAGGAGAAATAACAAAGTTGAGAAATGAACTTAAAGGCAGATAATTAATAACATTATTAGTATATAGTGTTATTAATCACCTATTTCAAAGCGTTGTTCAAAATTAATATAAAACATGTTATTCACATCTTTAGCATTTGTGTTTATATAAAAGAACGAGTACGGTGCAAAATTCACCGCTTGTTGATACATGTCATAAAGTGTTCGCTTGTCTACAAGGGCACTATTCTCTTCTAGGAAACTATTTACCTCGTTCATGTTCTTCAGTCTGAATATGAAAAGTGCCGAGGCATTAAGTCTAATTATAGGGGCAAGGACATTATATTTTTGTGTTGACAAAATACATGAGATGGCATTATGTCTTCCGCGTGTGAACAATCCATGCAAGATATTGGAGTATCTTACAAATTTAGGATCATCGGCAAAGTCGTCCACCACGATTAAAAAACTGAATAATTCCTTTTGCTTATTCTTCTTCTGGAAGTCTATTACCTTGTGTTGTGTTTCTATTATGTGCTTTAATGCAATTGGATCGTATTCTTCATAATATACTTTTTCCTTTTCCGTATCCACTTTCATTACGTCAGTAATGTATTTCTTGACTGCCCTCCATGTGTCGTCTACATGAACACTAGGGCTAAAAATGTATATCCTTTCAAATGAACCACGGTATATCTTTAAAATTAGATTTTGTATTAAAACAGATTTACCACCCGTTGAAGAAGCAACACATAACATTCTTGCAGGTAGACTTGGCATCATCTCGTATTTACTATTCTTGTAATTGTATTTGGGTATGTCTATAGGTTCTACTTTAGGAATATCTTCTAACATTAATACTAGTTAGAAATTATATCATTTAAATATATATGGATAAATACATAGAAGTAATAAATGAGATAGAGAATTTTGATGAAATAATAAAAACTCCAAGATACAGAATGTGTTGTCGTAGTTTGTTGGAATTCCTTAAGGCATTCTGCTTTTATGTCAAAAATGTTAAATAATGTAAATAATATAAATGAGCGATAAAAGCGATGAAAGCTATAAGAAGAAAGGGTTTTTCATTAATTCTAAAGGTGTATCTTGTATTCCTTGTAGATGTAAGAGGCAGTCATATCATAAGGAAACAAGGACGGTAAAAGAAAACAATGTAATAACTACTAACATTGTTGAAGATAGGCATAATATGAAATTTGGAGGAAGGAATGTTAGCCCTGATGAAAACCACATATTCAAAAATGATAACCAAACAGGAAGCGTTGAAATATGTGATACTGGATTTGGAACTCATGGTATAACACCCGAGGAATGCGAACAGAGAATAGAAATGACCGAGACAGACATTGAATGTATTAAGAAAGACATAGAACGATTGGAAGTAGAGATTGAAAAATTGAAGTTTAAAATTGATAAGAAAATTGTATAATAATATAAATTACAAGAAGCGATTTAAATTGTTGTTTGAGTTTTATCAGCTAGAAGAATTGCTAAAATAAGGTTGTAAAGAGTGATTTACTTATAATAGCGACAGCGCCCCATTTCTCCCATTTCCCCAGTGTGCCTTCCATAAGCACGTCATAAGAGCGTGGTAATGGTTAATTAGTTTGAAACAAGGTTTATCATAATTAACGAATTATGATAAATATTGTAAAATAATATAATATGACAATATATGTTGATAAAATAACAATGGATTTTAATACTGAGCATCAGCATCCCCATTGTGAAAGACAATGTGTTAGATGTAAAAAGTTTAAAAATTTAGTGCATTTTAAGAGGTATTACTATTGTAAAACGGGTAGGTATTTAACGCAGTATAGAACCACTGTTACTTGTTGTGAATGTCTTGATGGAATGAAAAAGTATAATGATACAAGGAAACGTGAGTTAAAACACATAAGTATAATGTAAGCACATTTCATAAGAGTTTATGGAATATAATTCTATTATGATTACAACCTTTGAAACCAAACCTAATAAAATCTATCTACCTACTCATGCCCATTGTGACCTAGATGTATCCGCCTTGATCTTAGGTAATTTCTTGTGTGGGATCCATACTTTGTTGGTGTAGTGGTGATTTTGGGGGAATATGGTTTATTTTGGATATGGATAATGGGGATACTGTTGTGATAATGGTTGTTAAGCGTAGGGGGGGGGTATGGCGGTTACATCTAGACCAAAATGGGCATGATATCACCTAACTTCTTTTGGGGGTTGTGAACTTCCTGGTCAAAAGGTGGAGTTCCGAAAAGCCGGGGCCTAACTCAGAGTTTACCTCCGTGAAGGTGACCACCTGTGACCCCCACTGGAGAAATCCTCGCGCAGGCTATCTGGTCCAGGTGTGCGACTGGGGGCGCCTCGGCAGTTTTGCCATGCTGTCGGGCTCAAAAGCTTCAGAGTTTAGTGTTTAAAGAGCAAGAACTGCTGAAACCACAACGGAGTATTCGCGGAGGCCGCCAGAAGAAGAATAAGATGCCGTCTTGTGACAGCACCATGCTGCAGTCCACCTTCCACTGCATGTTGTACAGCTCCGAGACCCTTGCTGACCGTTGCTTGAGGAGGCTTGATTTGTCGTTTCCTCCCAGCAGCTGAGGACCCCTTTCATTCCAGTCCATGTCGAAGACGCTCCCAAAGAGGCAGCTGCTCCGCCACCCGATGAGGACAAGGACATGGTTGAGCTCTACTTCTGAACGACTTCGACCCGGAGCTCGGGAGACTCACATGAGCAGCTAATGCTGTGTGATGCTATGAGAACTAATCTTGAGTTTCTTGACACAGGGTTCTTGGCAAACCCACCAGACTGAATCCAACAAGACCCCATATTGGCTCCATGCTTGAAACTTAGGCTTTCGGGGTGAGGGTTTGCGTGGAAAGACATATTAGATACTACAAGATGTATAGCAGAACACCTTTACATTGTTTTTGCTATATGGGCTGTTATATACTGCATATTTCATAAAATACCATGGGGTTAGTGACATGTTGTATGTTGTATGTTATATGTTATATGTTGTATGTTATATGTTATATGTTATATGTTATATGTTATATGTTATATGTTATATGTTATATGTTATATGTTATATGTTGTATGTTGTATGTTGTATGTTGTATGTTTTATGTTATATGTTATATGTTATATGTTATATGTTATATGTTATATGTTATATGTTATATGTTATATGTTAACATATACATATACATATACATAGACATAGACATAGACATATACATATACATATGCATATGTATATGCATCGACATCTACATCTGCATCTACATCTACATCTACATCTACATCTACATGTACAGATGCATATACATATACATATACATATACATATACATATACATATACATATACATATGTATAGATTCTACATAGATTACATATAGACATTATAAAAAACTGTGTTATATGTATATGCATATGCATATTTATATGCATATGCGTACGTCATCGCCAGAGCGCTTCGTGTTGGCAGACGGCTGATATGTTACGAGCCCAATGGGAGCTGCAAGTCAATTGGCCGGCTCACAATGGCACAATGGCATTTCTCCTGGGGTCTATTGCACGATTTTCCGCAGGCATCGTAAATTTCGGTGTCGCCAATGATTCTTCGTTAAACCGTTTAACCTTGGCAGCGCCAGAGGAGTGCAGAACCAGGAATCTCAAGTTTCCCTGCATATTTTGCAGGGAAACGAGAGCTTCGATTCACTTCTGCGTTCAGCATGTTGAGACCCAAGAAGCCGAGAGAGCGTTTAACGCCGCCCCAATGTTTCTCGTTGATGTGGGCAAGCGCCCGGTTCATGTGTCCGAGAAGCTTGGCTCGTACCAGATCGCCAAGGCAAAAAACAGAACCTCGGCATGTGTAGCCGCGCCTCGGTGCCTCTGCGGTGGAGCACTGCCAGGCTCAGCCTAGAGGCGTCGTCGTTGTAGCAGGTGGCAGTAGTAGTAGTAGTAGTAGTAGTAGTAGTAGTAGTAGTAGTAGTAGTAGTAGTAGTAGTAGTAGTAGTAGTAGTAGTAGTAGTAGTAGTAGTAGTAGTAGTAGTAGTAGTAGTAGTAGTAGTAGTAGTAGTAGTAGTAGTAGTAGTAGTAGTAGTAGTAGTAGTAGTAGTAGTAGTAGTAGTAGTAGTAGTAGTAGTAGTAGTAGTAGTAGTAGTAGTAGTAGTAGTAGCAGCAGCTCCAGCAGCTCCAGCAGCTCCAGCAGCAGCAGCAGCAGCAGCAGCAGCAGCAGCAGCAGCAGCAGCAGCAGCAGCAGCAGCAGCAGCAGCAGGCAGGAGGAGGAGGAGGAGGAGGAGGAGGAGGAGGAGGAGGAGGAGGAGGAGGGAAACAGCTCTCGCTCCCTGTTTTTGTTCTTTTTTGGGCGGGGGAGGGCGGGGGCGGTGGGTTCGAGGGTTTTGGGAGGTTTGAGTTTTCAGAAGTTTGAGGGATGGCCGTGGATACTCCACAGACATGGAGACCCGCCAGGGCCCATAGGTTACATCAACCCCATATATATGTATATACTGTCAGTTCTAGCGGCCCGCTTTTCACTCACAAAAGGCATGTTTGAGATGAACCGTCAAGGCTTTCAAGGCGTCTGATGCCAGCAAACTCACCGAAAAACCACGCAAGTTGAACAGCTTGGCGTCTATGAGCCATATCTGCAACCCGCCCTTAGCATGCTTCCCCGGACCTACTCGGGCCCTCAACCCCCCCCCCCACCCCAAACCCTACAAGTGTCCAACTCTTCCCATCCCGCGGCGCGATGGCGGGAAGCTGCTGTCTGAACCTGGAGGAGGGGTTTAGGGTTTCAGGGTTTTTGGGGGTTCATGCTCGCTGGAGTTTTCTGATGCAACTCGGCAACTGGAGTGCGGGCGAGGACGGGCGCCAGAACGATGACGAGGAGGAGAAGTCTTCCATTGAGGACCGCCAGGCGGAGCTTGCAGCGCAATGTCCAAGTACCCATGGCCTTAGAGTTCGAGCTTTAAAACCCTTAAGCCCTGAACCCGACACACCCTAACCCTAAGGCTCTTTAAGTTGAGGCTAAAACTTTGGACCAACCTTGCAGTCAGTTCCCAAGACCTCAAGCCCCCCCGAGCCTTCTGCGAAAAGCCCTTAGAGCAAAACAAAGCCCTTAAAAACCCTTTATCCCCAAAAGTTCCAAAAGCCCTAAACCCTATAAAAAACCTGCGTTCCGTGACATTCAGACCGCCGCGACAGATGGCCCCACCGGGCCTTAAGAGACCCCCCGGATGGCGCGAAGCTTCTTCTTCATTCTTGACACCCTGCGCATCCTTCCCGCCCACCCCCCACCCCCAAGACCTTATAAGCATTTCACGACCTAAACCCTAAACCCTAAACCCTAAACCCTAAACCCTAAACCCTAAACCCTAAACCCTAAACCCTAAACCCTAAACCCTAAACCCTAAACCCTAAACCCTAAACCCTAAACCCTAAACCCTAAACCCTAAACCCTAAACCCTAAACCCTAAACCCTAAACCCTAAACCCTAAACCCTAAACCCTAAACCCTAAACCCTAAACCCTAAACCCTAAACCCTAAACCCTAAACTAAGTGAGGGGTCGCTTCCGTCGAGCGACAGACCCCGAACGCTCGGCCGAGGGCCTTACAGCCCGAGCGCCCAAGCGAAAAGAGAAACGGAAAGGTGAGGGTTAAGCCTCACCGTCTGTCCTGGACAGGCCAACGGACATCGGCCTTTTTTACGACAACGTCAGTACTCGGCTAAGGGATGGCCGGCACCCAGACCACCTTTAGCGTAGCTAAAGTATAACCCCAAATCGTAACCCTTCGCCTCTGGAGGTGGTTTTGGCTCGGGGGGCCCTTGGCCCGGGGGGCCCTTGGCCCGGGGGGCCCTTGGCCCGGGGGGCCCTTGGCCCGGGGGGGCCTTGGCCCGGGGGGCCCTTGGCCCGGGGGGCCCTTGGCACGGGGGGCCCTTGGCCCAGGGGGCCCTTTGGGCCGGGGGGCCCTTGGCTCGGGGGGCCCTTGGCCCGGGGGCCCTTGGCCCGGGGGGCCCTTGGCCCGGGGGGCCCTTGGCCCGAAGGGCCCTTCTCGGGAAAGAACCCAAAATCACGAAATTGAGCAACCAGCCTGCCTGGACCCCTCGCCAGCCTCCTGGTCCAGGAATCCAGCTGCCAGGGGCCAGGGGGCCCCCGGCGGGAGGGCCCGGCGCCCCGGGCCAAGGCCTCCCAGGCGGGCCAAGCGCCACGTCCCCCCACGGGCCTTCCGGGCCAAGGGCCCCCGGGCCAAGGGACCCCCCCGGGCCAAGGGCCAGCCGGACCAAATGCCAAGGGTTTGATGGGCCAAGGGGGCCCCAAACCCCCCGGCCCAAGGGGCCACTTGGCCTAAGGGCCCGGGCCAAGACCCCCCGAGTCAAGGGCCCCCAAGGGCCAAGCCGCCAGGACCCCGCGCCAAAAAGGCTCGCCGTTTCCGGCCAAGGCCCCCCGGGCCATTGGGCCCAGGGGCCAAGGGCCTCCCAGGCTTTTGGAAGGGACCCCAAGAAGGGCCCAAAACTCCCCCCAAACAAAGGGGCCCCCAACTAAAGGCTCTCGGGCCAAGGGGCCCCCCACACCAACACCCTTGCAGGGAATCGCACGAGCCCCCAACAAGCGCCAAGAGCCACCAAAAGGCTTCAAAAACTTCAAAAGGCCCACTAAAAGAAGGGGGACCCCAGGATGCCCGTACCCGCAATGAAAAATGCGATTTCTTGGTAGTGAAATCGATGCTTAATTGAGGCCCTTAAAGAAGGGGAATCCAAGAGCAGACACAGAGGGTTTCCCTGACCTTCAAATAAATAAGGGCCTCTACGGGCCCTGACACGCCGAAGGCCCGAAAAGGGCCGAGGCTACCCCCAACCCCAGCTTAAACCCTAACAGCGCAACTTTAAAAACATCAAAGCAAGCATCAGAGCACCAGAGAAAGTACGGGCCCTAACGTGCCGAAGGCCCGAAAAGGGCCGAGGCTACCCCGAACCCCAGCTTAAACCCCAACACCGCAAAACCCTGCCAAGGCCTTCAAGCAAATAAGGGCCTCTACGGGCCCTAACTTGCCGAAGGCCCGAAAAGGGCCGAGGCTACCCCGAACCCGAGCTTAAACCCTAGCGATTGAAATACTCATTGGCGAAAAACTCATTAATAAGTTCCCTGACCTTTAAATGAATAAAGCCTCTACGGCCCCTGACACGCCGAAGGTCCGAACAAGGCCCCGAGAGACCCCAAGAGCCACCAAAATGCTTCAAAAGGCTTTAAAAGGCCCCCCAAAAGAAGGGGGACCCCAGGATGCCCGTACCCGCAATGAAAAATGCGATTTCTTGGTAGTGAAATCGATGCTTAATTGAGGCCCTTAAAGAAGGGGAATCCAAGAGCAGACACAAAGGGTTTCCCTGACCTTTCTACGGGCCCTGACACGCCGAAGGCCCGAAAAGGGCCGAGGCTACCCCCAACCCCAGCTTAAACCCTAACAGCGCAACTTTAAAAACATCAAAGCAAGCATCAGAGCACAAGAAAGTAAATTCCATAAACCCTAAACCCTAATAGAGTATAGTTTGGGTGGCCGGGGTGGGTTGACGGGCAACGCGAGCGCGCGGCCCAGGGTGTTTCACACCCGAGCGCGCGCCCTCCCCTGACACACCCTAAACCCTAAACCCTAAACCCTGAACCCTGAACCCTGAACCCTGAACCCTGAACC